TGTTTTTTTTTATATTGTTTTTGGTTGCATGGCAAGGGGTTGGCACGCTTGATCCTTTAGCGCACGGACGGTCGTTTGTACGTCGGCTTTGCCGAGTGCGTACGTAGGTCAAATGGGATGATTGTTTTGACTACACAGGACAGAATCAATCGTGATGGGTACGACAAGGTCAACAACGCTGTTTTCAAAGTCGCTGCTACCTATGATAGAGCACGACTACACCGCGTTATATTTCGTGGGGAGATACTTTGTTGCGTTCATGTCGGAGACGCGTAGAAAACCGCACCGTCATGTGCCTCCCGTGTTCTTGTTTTATACTTATTGGGTTTCGTTTCATGGCAAGAGTTTCGTACATGTCGTCAGTCTCATCCTATTTTCCAGTCCTTGTGCCGATTTTCGCCCATCCGTAGTTTCTGTCTTATTTTTTGTATCGGGTGTCGTACATGTATGTGTCACCGTTTTTTTCCGGTCGTTCAAAACATTTTACCTCATCTGTGAAAAGAGGGAATCGTCCTCGACAGAAGTTGGGGAGTTTCTACCTTTATGAAGGTGGTCTCCACATTACCCCCCCCTTTTTTTCGAGACTTTTTCTTGTTGCCCAGGCAAGAGAAGTCTCTTCTTGGGGTAACCGGAACCCGACCGGCTGGCGGCGGGGCGATTCACATTCCTCACAATCCTCTGTACGTGTATTACGGGTTCGCTACGTCCGCCACGTTTTTCAGAAGTTCCGAGTTCGATATAGCCAGTGCATCCTCCCTTGGCCCACCCACCGTTTTTCTTTTTCCGTTATCCGGAAGAAAATTTAGTGACCAGCGGGTTTTGAACCCGTGTCTTTTGCAACCAAAAGCAGACACCCTGACATCTCACGTCGACGCCATTGTGAAAAGAGGGAATCGTCCTCGACAGACGTTGGGTGGGGAGTTTCTACCTTTATGAAGGTGGTCTCCACACATCCATGGTTTCCTATATTTTCTCTCTGGCCCGACCGCGCCATTTCTCGCTGTATAATGTTATGTGATCTGGTCGTTTTGCCGCATGAGTGCTGCGCTTCCTTCGCTTCATTTCCTTCAACGATGTATTCTTCAACAACGCAATTCACATTGGCCTCGCAGCACCAACAACATATCCATTTGGCGAACATACCACCATCGTTAAAACGCTTCCGCCAAGAACGAATATTTCCGTAGTCTATGCCTTTTGGTTACCTATAGGTGTTGTCATGTTTTGGGATGTGACAGGAACGGTGGCTGTTCGCTGTTCATATTTCACATTTTCTGTCATCTGTTGGACCACAGCGCCGCCCAACATCTAACAAGCGTACTGTTTTGACTTCGTCTTTGGGCCCTGTTTCCAACGAATATTTCCGTATGCCTTTCGATTTATGATTGAAGCCATTGTGCTTTCGGAACGCTCGCTTCGTCCAGCCCAAAAAATCGATACTTGCATGTTACGTAAGGAATTCGTTTTCGTCAATCGACGTACGTTTCGGGGGGTCATGATGTTCATCCTCTCACCGTCCTCATTTTCTTTTTTTTCTGCCTTCAGTGCTTCCCGGCAGCTTTTCATATCGTATATCTTCAACGGGGGCCTCTCGTTTAGTATGGATGGAATTTTTCCGATTTCTTCCTTTCCATGAACATCCGACGTCGTTTCATACTCGAGGGGAATTACCCCTTCGCTTATCGTCACATCGCTGTATTTCATCTTGGACTTGCGCGTGTACCGTGCGTCCTGGGTCCAACGGACGACGGCGAAGCGACAGATACCTCACTTGCGCTTCATGTTCGTCTTCATTACCTCATAATACCAACTACATCTATCTTTAACGTTGTTCCTCCTTCGTTCCTGTCATTACGTGCACCACACGCTCTACACCTAACTATTCGTCAGGGCGCAATGACCGTCATGTCCATCTCAGTGGACTATACCATCTTTCCCCGGTACCAACCCCCCCATGTCCGGAGGTTGTTTCCATAGCTTCTCTGCTTGCCTTCATCATCCCGACACATATCTCCGGTTTGCGCCTTCCTATTCCCAATCAACCTACACATCCTTCATAGTGAGCCGCGGACAGTCACCCGCGACCAACCTTCTTTTCTTTTACATCAGCCTCTTCCAACCATCTCCTTGTACACTCGCCCTTCCGCAAAACCTACGTTTTTTCCACCTCATCTCCTCATGTCTTCGTCTACGTTGCCATTGTGGCCCCCTCGCCCCCAGTGGGCGGGGGGGGCATTCATTGCCCTAGTACATACCATGCCGTTATACTACTGCGCTGTGTGCAGGGACGGTTCGAGGTACACCCACTAGAAGACTAAATACAGCAGCAGTGAATGTAGTCGATTATACTCTTTTACAGGTACAGTAGTACTCGTTTTACTTGGTTTCTTCTGCTTTACCTCTGAGCGAGGCGAGCAAATGCCACACAATCACATTTTAACACACAAACACAAACGATGTCCACGTAGTCAACCCTGAAATCCGAGGCGTCAATGGTCAACGGTGGCGGTCCGACGAAAACAAGAGCTTCAGATTGTTGTTGTTTGTGTCCCCCACATGAAACGTGCATCCCGTGTTAGCTTATGGTTTGTCTTTTATCCCTTCTGGCCTCCCCGTAGGCTCATGCTTCTATGGCCGTATATATATATATATATGTGGGCGTCTGGGATGTGGCCACTAACTACTATGTGCCGTCCGTTGTTGTTTGTATGGTTCCGAAAGCGGTGTCGACCAAAAAATGTCTCCCTCACCTTACCCCTTCGTGGGTGATAGCAAAGTTGATTTCACATGATTATTTACCTCAATGGCAAAAATCTAATCCGTGGCTACAACCCAGGCTGTTGTTTTTAGTTTCGCGTGGTTGTCTTTCAAGGTCCTGCCCGTTTGGGTAGAAGAAGAGCTTTGAAGCAGGTGAGAGGAGGTCGACCGCCCCTCGAAGTCGATGGAAGAAGATGTGTAGAGCGAGCGCCCGCTGGCAGGCAGGGTCGCGTTCCTCGATTGTGTTTACTGGTTGTACCTCACTTTGTACAGCAGCAAGCTGCGAGCCCTGTTGGAACATGTGGAGCTGAAAGGAGGCGTGCTCGATTGCTGTGGCGCTGCCCAAGACGGCAACACACGGTGCTCTGTTCGCACGGTCTCCGTGTTGCAGGCTTCGATCCGATGTATGTATGTGTGTCTTAGGCTAACGTCGGTGGTGTCACCGAGGACTGCAGTAGTACAAGCTGCTTTTAAGTTTGAGCTCTTTGCTTCAAGTTATCAGATTGTGAACACGCACAAATCAAAGACGTACGATTCTGACCGCATTTATTTCGTGAGACACTGCTTTCATTTCTGTCGGTAAAGTAATTACCGGCGCTTGTATCTTTGGTGGCCTCCCTACTCTCATGTTGGTCGCCGACACCCACCTGGACGTCGCCTTGAATACTTCTGCCAAGGCGCACGTCGAGGGCACGCGGCGCCCGAACTCGGTACACTGACGACGCCTGCCAAGAGCGCCTACACTATTTTGCGATGCGGGTCGCTGGCGCATGGGAGTGGCATTCAACCCGAGGTTGACTCTTCTCTTGCTCAACAAAACCAGATGGCGGCGTCGAAAGGGCAACGTGCTTGACAGGCTTTCTACCGCGGAAGACGCTGTCGCTCATCTGTGGAGTGGTTTACATGGGAGACTGGACGGGGGCTGTAAGAAAGCAACGTACCTGTGGCTGGCTTTTTCTTGCCTGACGAAGTTCTCTATTTAATATTTGTTTGAAAGTTGCACTGCAGTACCCGAAGCGTACACAAGTGTCGGGACACAAAGATTCTTCAAGGTTAGTTTAAGTCTGCCTCCCGCAAGCAAAGTACCGCAGAGGAGGAGTAGGTAGGGGTGCTCAAGGAGAGGAGCCTTTCTGTGTGATCACGGGTTGGAGTGAACGGCACAAGTGCTGTGAGCGGTGATTTTTGAAGTGAAGACAAACAAAAAAAAAGGGAGTAAATCCTCGCTTTATTGTGCGTGGATTTGCGTGGTTGAGCGGCGTGGGCTCGAGAACACGACAAGGAGAGCCGAGAGGCACGGGCTTGAGCATCACTATGCTACGTGGAATACACACGGAAGACGCGCCAGCGGGCGTGTTCAGAGGCACATGCGTGCGATGCTCGGGGGGAGAGCGCACTGAACGGTATTTGAACGCGAAAGAAACCCCGTGTGTCGTTTCCGGCGCTGGAAGGGCGATCTAGACAACCGCTGTCTCCCACGAATAACTTTTGTTTTGTTTCATTTGATGTCCACGCAATCTATGCGCCTCTAGACTGTATGTACCCTAGTTCTACAAAATGGCTTAACTATTAGTGCAAAACGTGCTGTCTCCGCCAAAAAACCCTCTCGCTCACGGGACCACCCTCTGCATTAAATAGTAGATCGCGCAGATACTACACGACAATCGAAAGCAACCCCGTTTATATCTACCACTACGGAGCAAACCCAGCGCATTTAATCGCTTTCGTTCCATCGGTTTCAGTCTTCGAACGCAACGAGGCGATTTTGGTAGAGCGACCGCAACGCTCCCAGCACCTCCCCCCGTACCGCCTCTATCGCCAGCCCCTCCATGTCCTCTCCGTCAGAGCCGACGCCATCCTCTTCCTCACCACCGTCACTCCCCTCCTCGTCATCGTCTTCTTCTCGCCGGCTTAGCCGTTCTTCGACGACCTCCTCCATCATCTCCGTCAACGACAACGACCGATCCGCCAGCTCCAGCAGGTCAAGCTCCATCTCCCCCAACTCAATCCACTTCTCTTGCCCGTCGGTGGGCTGAACACGCGCACGAAGGATCTTATTCGCGTGGGTATACACAGGGGGGAGGGGTCGGGATCAACGGTAGTTAGCTTCCGCGAAACATCGCATGAAAGCTGCCGTCTGCCTGCAGCACGGCCTTCCTTGGTACAGAAGCATCATTTTTTCTGTCGTGTGTAGACTTTGCATCCCGTCCGCCAGGTGCTGTCGTTGATTTCGGCCGTCCCTCGTCGGTCGGGTTACGCTGCAAGGATCGCCACCCAGCCTAACCGCGGTTTTATGCTCTTGAATACGGCTTCCATCGTATCCCCTTGAAGGTGTAGCGCGGAATATGTTATGAGATACGACTTCCATCCTATCCCCTTGAAGGTATAATGCGGTACATGTTGTGGGATACGGATTCCATCCTATCCCCTTGAAGGTATAATGCGGTACATGTTGTGGGATACGGATTCCATCCTATCCCCTTGAAGGTATAATGCGGTACATGTTGTGGGATACGGATTCCATCCTATCCCCTTGAAGGTATAATGCGGTACATGTTGTGGGATACGGATTCCATCCTATCCCCATGAAGGTGGACTGCTGCGCCATCCAACACTCTCTTATGTATTCTCTCCTACCCTCTCCTTGCGTTCATGCATCTCCTGACCTATCCCATCCCATCCCGCCCTGTCCTGGAAGTGTGCAAGTTTTAGTATGTACATCGTATCGCACGTTCAAAAAGCCACCGAGATGATGGCGGAACAAGAAAATTTGTCCGATTACCAACGCGCTACGTCCTCCTCTTGGAGGTGATATCTTTCACTGCTCTTTCCGTCTTAGCCTCCAACCCGAAACAAATCCTCAATCTACAGAAAGCGCCACCGCTCGACTGAGAGTTAAGAGCTCCAGGCTCAAAACATCGAAACTGAAACAATATTACCACAACAAAAGCAGGCGCTCAGTGTTACTGAGTCCCAAACGAATACCTATACGTCGCTCTTGCGTCCCACACCACGAATATTGGGTCAATCAGAGGATTTCAACGGCGGCGTCTTCGGTAACCCCTCTCACCCCTACATATAGATCTCACCTCCCCGTCGCTGCTCTCGGTCACCTCCGACCGGAAGCCGACCGCCTGAACCGGCGTCATGCCGCTCCACGCCTCCTCCTCGTCAAACTCCCCTTCTCCGTCCTCGCCGCTATCCCGCGCCGCATCCGGGGGGAAGGGCTTCGCCGTCAGGACGCGGTCGTGTAGCACCAGCATGCCGATGGCTCCCCCCGACCCGTGTAGGGACCGGATCGCGTCTATTGCGTAAAGTGTTCAGGGCAGCAGGTGTGCCATCAAGTTGTTGTTTGTTGTTGCTGTTGCTGTTGCTGCTGCTGTTGTTGCAGCAGCACCAGGTGTGCCATACAGTTGTTGGTTGCTGTAATGTGTTGTTGTTATTGTTGTCGTTGTTGTTTGTTGTTGCCGCCTGCAATCAATCCATCCATCGGCGGCCCGTCGTACCGA